CCATTTCAATCAACAAGAAACAATTTAGGATGGTTCAATGAGTACTTTATTCATCCACATGGAGATGGTTATCATATAATACATCATTTGTATGCAAAGATTCCATTTTATCAATTGGCTAATGCCCATCGTGTATTAATGAAAGATTCAATATATGCAGAACAAGGTCATCACTGTAATGCTTTTATTTTAACAGATAACAAGATAAATACGACATTCACTTCACTCTCACAAGGTGCAAGCCAAAATATAGATCTCATGAATAAATAGTCTTTGTGACCATCAACAATTGACGTAGAGTTAACTCTTATTTAATACATACTCTAAAGCTTATATCCTATATTGCATATATTAATATTCTAGAAATTGTTGCGTATTGTATGCTAAAATATCTGTCTTATAACGAATGTGTTTTCTGTTCCGTTCTTTTTTTTTTGTTATTAAATAAAAAATCACAAAAAAAAATTCATTATAGGAAACATACTTTTCTAGATGCAAATCATTGGTTTTCTAATACTAAACACTTAGAAACTTGAATACCAATTATTCAAATATTCAAGCTATCGTATATTGCAGTATTCTCGAGACAAACACACATACACACAACTCATTCAATGTGCATATATTATGAAAAATAGATTTAGACAAAATCACATATACAAGGCATTGTACCTAGTGTGAATGTCTCAAGAGACGAAAATTAGAATGCTTGATTAATTGAATAATTGAATTTGTGAAATGTGAAGGACAATAATTGAGTGCAAATTTCAAGTTTGATACTAATCATGAATTTCGATCTAATAGAGCGATATAATGACTAGTTTTGTTTTTGAAAAGGATCACTATCCATAATACCAAAGTTGAAGAAACCAAGCTCAGTTGAAAAATAAATGAAGAAGACAGAGAATTTCTCAACAACATCAACAAGAAAGAACGCTTAGAAATATTCCTGTTGATGATAACGCAAAAGCCACATATACATTTGCATCATATGTATTATTAATACGATAGCAGAAAAGAAAATCGTTTTAGATAGGACAAGTCAGTGAATTTAAGAAAAAGAGAAAGAAAGAAAGATACATAGATCCATACGCCATCATGTATATAAAACGATAGAAAGAGTAACTTACTTTTCTTCTTCTTTTTTCCATGTAAATTGTATATGATAAGATAGGTTCTTAGAAATACAATCTAAAACATCCTTTCAAAAATGTCATCGACTTTTCGTCTTTGACAAAAATATTTTGCATAAATGATTCTTCGTTTGAAAATATCTCTCATCCTGAATTGTTGTTTTTTAAATAACATGATAGTGGGTGTGGATATGGGTATGGACTCCATTTTCAGTGACACCCACACCTCACACTTTTTTAACATTCATCAAACTTGATTTTAAGACAATATCAATAAATGAATATAGGACTGTATATATCAATGTTTTCTCTTGAGCATGATGACCATCACATAGAGTTTCGATCCATTTATATACAGTGAACAGATTTTGAGTTAATTTATCAAATAATTGTTTAATTAATGTCAAATATTTATTTTCTATAATATGTGTATGAATGAATGGGTATGGGTGTAGATAATAGTGCAGAGGACACCTACACTACTAAAGTCCAAAAAATCGATTTTTTTTCTCTCCGAATTCGATATATGACTTTCTATCACACATCGGTACAAATGTTTGGAAATGATTCTCGCTTGATCTTGTGAGGAATCATCATGAATATAATAAGCATTTTCATCTCGATGTGAAATGACTCTATCGTGTTTCATATTTTAATTCCATAGGGATTGCACTTAAAACTTTCTTTTTGTTTTGTCATTTTCCTTGTTTCAGCTCTCATATAAGTATCGAGCGATATATCTTCATTTTGTCATTCATCAACCAACACTTACACACAATGTCATCTATTATTGTATTCTACTTTCCACTCCTGGCAGTACTGATAGTATCACTTGTTAATGCTGTGCCAGTTACGAAAAACATTACTCATTCGTGTGATGCAGAATACTTTGAGTATGGGCTGTGTTCGGAGTCAATTAGCTCTCCAAACCGTTGTAAAGAAACAATATTTGATTTGACCAATAATAATATTTCAAAAACATGTACATCGGTTCATCTTTTCTGGAACTATCCAGTTGCTAACTTGACGACAATCATTGAAACGCCATTGACTCAGAAAAAACAAGCCTACAAGCTTTATATTGACAATGAACAATTGAAACCTTACATATCACATGTTTATCGAGTATTGCATGGTCAAGAAACAGAGGTGACAACAACTGATAAAACACTCATTCAAGATTCGGATGCCAACTATCAAGTGATTCTTAAGTTTGAAGGTCCATCCACGTTATATTATTATGGTGTTTTTATCAATTATGATATTGTTGTCATGTTATGAAGAAATTGCTAGTCTTTGATTTTCACAACAAAAATAAAAAGTGAAACATAATCTCAATGAGAAACGATTGAATTTTAAGAAGAAATAGTTGAATTAAAGTCGATTTATAATCTATCATGAAGTTTATACTACAAACATTAATTCTTGTTTGAGTCTAGGTCGAATTCGGCTTAGTAATATCAATAAAATATCCATGTCACATGTGTATAGAAGAGATAAAAGAAAAAAATACTTTCACTTAAAAATCTAACTTATACATAACATCTTGTTTCTGTTGTAAAGATCATGATAGTCCGATATGAAAAAATCACCTGTATTCTTTAGTTGAACTGTTCCAATGCAGAAGCCAAATGAGAAGAAATCTTGTAATGTTTATTTATATCCGAAACCGGTTGTCTTGGAAAGAGTAAAACTTGTATTAAAAACTTCTGCCCAAATATGCATTGTGATTATGATGACAAAAAGCTAAATTTGTTTTTAAAATTTAATCACACTTCTAATATGCACATTGATTCTTTGGCACCTGCTTCAATTATTTCTGTTTTGTCATTCTTTTTCATCATTCTCTCTCCTAATACTTATAAATACTGATTCTTCTCATTTATCATCAATAGAAATGATGTCAGTTTCTATTACATATTTAGTTCTATTTGCGATCGTGATAGTGTTATCTCTTGTTAATGATGTGTGTCTTACAAACGACATCATTGACTTGTGTGTGTCCCAATTTCATTCATATAGCGGATGCTCTCATAAAGTCAGCTCTTCTGAAGATTGTAAAGTATCAACATTTTATTTATCCAATAGTGACATTTCAGTAAGATG